TACATGTTAGGCCATGAAACAAGTCCCCATAAATTGAAGAAAACTGAAATCATATCAAGTGTCTTTTCCAACCACAACAAACTAGAAATCAATTATAAGAAAACTGAAGAAATCACAGATATGTAGGGTTTAAACAACATGCTACTGAAAACCGGATGAATCAATGAAGAATTCAAAGGGGAAATTAAAAGAAAATAACTTGAGACAGATGAAAATGGAAATAAACAATGCAAAATTGAGGGGATGCAGCAAAAGCAATTCTAACAAGGAAATTCAAGAAACAAGAAAAACTCAAACAATCTAGCTTTGCACTTAAAGTATGTAGTAAAAGAAGAACAAACTAAGCCCAAAGGTAGCAGAAGGAAGGAAATCATAAAGATCAGAGCAAAAATAAATGAAATAGAAACTTAAAAACAAAACAAAAGAAAGGATAATGAAACTCAGAGCTGGTTCTTTGAGAGGATAAACAAAATTGACAAGCCTTTAGCTAGATTCACCAAGAAAAAAAGAGGGAAGGTTCAAATAAATAAAATGAAATGAAAGAGGAGAAATTATAACTGATACCATAGAAATATGAAGGAAGGATAATAAAAGACTAGTATGAACAATTATACACCAACAAACTGGAAAACATAGAACAAATGGATAAACTCCTAGAAACATACAATCTTCCAAGACTGAATCATGAAGAAATAGAAGATCTGAATAGACCAATTACTAGTAAGGAGATTCAATCAGTAATCAAAAGCTCCCAACATACAGAAGTCCAGGATCAGATATCTTTACTGGGGTGAATTCTACTAAACATTCAAAGAATCCTTCTTAAACCATTCCATAAAATTGAAAGATAAAAAAACACTTCTAAACTCATTTTATGAGGGGCACCTGGATGGCTCAGTGGTTGAGCAGTTGCCTATGGCTCAGGGCATGATCCTGGGGTTCTGGGATCAAGTGCTGCATTGGGGTCACCACAGGGAGCCTGCCTCTCCCTCTGCCCCTGTCTCTGCCTCTCTATGTCTCTCATGAATAAATAAATAAAATATTTTTTAAAAAATAATAAACTCATTTTATGAGGCCAGCCTTAACCCAATACTAAAACCAAATAAGGAGAGCATAAACAAAGAAAATTACAGGCCACTATCCCTGATGAGCATGGATGCAAACATCCTCAGCAAAATATTAACAGGATTCAACAATACATGGAAAGGATCAAACACCATGATCAAGTGGGATTTATTCCAGGGGTGCAAAATGGTTCAACATCTGCAAATCAATGGGATATAATAATAAGGGACCATTCGACCAAGTTGGTAAAATGGAATGTACCTCAACAAAATAAAAGCCATATATGACAAACCCAAACTAACATCATATTCAATGATGAAAACCTGAAAGCTTTTCCTGAGACCAAGAACAAAGAAGGATACCCACTCTCACCATTTTTATTCAACATTATTAGAAGTCTGAGCCATGGTAATTAGGCAAGAAAAATAAATAAAAGGCATCCAAATGGGGATGAGGGGTGGGGAGGAAGACCCACTATTTGCAGATGATGCACATGATAATTTATACAGAGAACCCTAAAAACTCCACACAGACAAACATAAAAACCCTGTTTGAACTAATATATGAATTTAGTGGTGTCACAGGATACAAAATTCAATATACAGAAATCTGTTGCATTTCTATAAACTAGTAATAAGCTACTGAAAAGAGAAATTAAGGAAATAATCCCACTTATAATTGCATCAAAAAGAATGAAATACCTAGGAACAAATTTAGCCAAGGAGATAAAAGACCTCTACATTGAAATTACAAACCACTGATGAAAGAAATTGACAAAGACACAAAGAAATGAAAAGATATTCCCTGTTTACAGATTAGAAGAATTAATATTGTTTAAATGTCCATACTTCCCAAAGCAATCTACAGATTCAATGCAATCCCTATCAAAAAAAGAAAGAAATCACTATCTTATCATACACAAAAATTTACTCAAAACGGATTAAAGACTTGAACGTAAGACCTGAAACCATTAAAACTCCTAGAAAAAAAAAAAAAAACATAGGCAGTAAGACATAAGTCTTGGCATTGAAGTTTTAGATTTGACTCCAAAGGAAAGGGTAACATAAAGCAGGAATAAACAAGTGACATTATATCAAACCAAAAAGCTTCTTTGCAACCAAAGGAACTATCAACAAAACAAAAACACAGCCTACTGAATGGGAGAAACTCCTTGCCAATCGTACCTCCAGTAAGAGGTTAACATCCAAAAAAAACGTATAAAAACCTCACATAAACTCAATAGCACAAACCCCCACAAACAATCTGATTAAAAAATAAATGGGCAGAGGATCTAAACAGACATTTTCCCAAAGAAGACACAGATGGCCAATAGGCACACGGAAAGATGCTCAACATCACTCCTCATCAGGGAAATGCAAGTGAAAACCCCAATGAGGTTATCACCTCACACCTGTTGGAATTGTTTCATCAAAAAAGACAAAAAACAGCAAGCGTTGGTAAGGATGTGGAGGAAAAGGGAGCCCTTGTGCACTGTTGGTGGGAATGTAAGATGGTGCCACCGTCATGGAAGACAGGACGGAGGTTCCCGAAAGATTAAAGAATAAAGCTACCATATGATTCTGGGTGTTCATCTGAAGAAAGTAAGGACACTAATTCAAAAAGATACCTGCGCCTCTAGGTTCACTGCAGCGTTATTCACTGTAACCGAGTTATGGAAAATAACACACGGTAACGAGATTTAGTGTGGCGATCACCCAGCAGCGTACATCGATAGCGAACGATCACTGTGGAGCCCCCAGAACTGATATCATGCTATATGTCAACTTTATCTCAATTTTTTTGTAAAAAAAAAAAAAGAAAAGAAAGGGCAGCCCTGGTGGTGCAGCGGTTTAGCGCCGCCTGCAGCCCAGGGTGTGATCCTGGAGACCTGGGATCCATCGAGTCCCTTGTCGGGCTCCCTGCATGAAGCCTGCTTCTCCCTCTGCCTCTCTCTATCTAAATAAATAAATAAATCTTAAAAAAAATGGCTTTGGACAGGTTAAAATGAAATCACACGCAAGGGTTGGGTGCAGGGAGAGCAAAGGAGAGGCTTCAGGAGAGGGGCCAGGGAGGCTGGGCTCTGTGGCAGAGGGAAGTGCGGATGTCAAGGGCAGGGGAGCTGATCAGCAAGGTATCATCAGCTGCTGACAAACGGGGGCATGGGACACTGAGACTCCACCTGGGAACTGACGAGATGGACACAAGTGGAGGTGGCAGCTGACCTGGACAAGGTCATGATCTGTAACCCAACACGCAGGCCGCCAGCTAAATGTGACTGTCTCCATTTTGCAGCTAAGGAAGCTGAGGCCTGGAGGGGCCCAGAGAGGTGCCCAGGGCCACGTAACCAGTGAGCGGTGGGGACAGGGCAGAGGAGCCAAGGCATCCGACGTCACCCCACTCACTGTCAGAGTTGTCTCGTCCTGCCCAGTCTAGGCTCCTCACCCCTGCAGCTCCTGGGAGGGTGGCCTTGAATTTAGGGCCATGTGGGTCATGTCGGCACCGGGTCCTTGCAGCCGGTAGCTTGATGCAGCTCTAAACTGCCTGATGTTTTAGTTGCACTGCTTGCATTCCCACAACTGACCAGGCTTTCTCTCTGCTTAGCTCTTAGGTGAAATGTCATCGATTCCCACTGGGCCCACAGGTGAGCAAGTTCTGAGGACCAACTCCATTACCCCTGCTGCCTGGGGGAGGAGGTGGGTGCCGTCTACCGCTCATTCCCAAAATCTACAACCTCTCTGGCCCTGAGACGCTTAACTCACTGAGCTACCCAGGCACCCCGAACTGTCTTATTTTTTGACGAGTTTTCAAGTGAGATGCAGACGTGAGTAGTATCCTTCACCTGTAAACGCCTCGGTGCGTGCATCAATCACTTAAGTCAAGTTTAATATTTGCTTTCCTTTTTTCAGATAAAGTTTGCAAACAGACTTTGAACAAATACAGAACACCTGGGGAACCGAAACCTCTGTCGAGACACAGAACGTTGTCATCACCCCAGAAAGTTCCCTCTTGCCCCTGATGCCCCCACCAACCCCACCCCGGAGGCAACTGCTGATCTGATGTTTTTCCACCATAGATGATTTTGCCAATTCTAGAGTTTCCCGTAAATGGAATCCTCCAGCACATGCTCTTCTGTGCCTGGCTTCCTTGGCTCAGCACAATGCTTTTGCAACTCACTAATGCAATAGCATGTTATTAGCAGTTTGTTTCTTGTGTTTTTGCTAGCAGCATTCCATTACGTGAATCTATCACAGACTGTTTATCCATCTCCTGTTCCCTGCAATTAAGTATGTTGATAAAGGAAATCATTCTTTAATGAATTTCCAGTTGGGATGCTTCCGTTTTTCTGTTAAGAATTCTCTCCTCATTGAAGCAATCTGGGTCTGGCTCATGGCTGTTAGGAGCCGTGTCTCTGAAATCTGAAAGCTCTGGATTCCTATTTCCGTGCCCCGGTGTCACTAACTGGGTGCCCTCGTGTCGGTCACCTCGCCACACTGCACCTTACCTTTTCCCATCTGACCGCTGGGAATGAAAACACCTAAAGGGTGTGAGTTGCTTATCAGATTTGGAGCAACTTAGCTCATTCCTTTGCTGGTTCGTGTAACCAAAAGTAACAAGTGCCTGCTGTGTCCTGACTTTGCCAAGTCTGGGAAACAAAAGGGGTTTTCAGGCTGGTGGGTTACACACACCGCACAACTAGACAACTAGCTGTGAGGTTGATGATTTAACCGTCATTGTTATTAGTGCTGCAAGGAGAGAAAAGGAATTTCCTGGATAGTGTGGGGCAGGGAGAGAGGAACAGTGGGAGGCTTGATTTTAAGCTGAGGTCTGGGACGTGTGTCTAACCCAGGCCGCTGGCTGCAGGGAGTGCAGGGACCAGGAGGGATGTGCATGCATTTGCTGGAGTCGCCATAACAAAATAGCATAGGCTGGGTGGCTGCAGCCACAGGAATTTATTTTCTCACAGTTTTGTAGACAGGAGGTCTGAGACCAAGGTGACACCGGTGGTGTTGGGGGGGGAGGAGGGCTGGCAGTGATTGCTCTCTGGAGAGCTCTCTCTTCCTGGCTTGTAGATGGCCAGCTTTTCACTGTGTCCTTAATGTGGCTTTCCACCATTCCTGCATGGAGAGCTAGCTCCAGTAGTTCTTTCTTCTTCTTCTTCTTCCTTCTTCTTCCTCTTCCTCTTCTTCTTCCTCCTCTTCCTCTTCCTCTTCTTCAAGATTTTATTTTTTCATGACACAGAAAGAGAGAGCAGAGGGAGAAGCAGGCTCCTTGCAGGAAGCCTGACGTGGGGCCAGAACTAAATCCCAAACCCAGGATGATGCCCTGAGCTGAAGGCAGATGCCCAATAGCTGAGCCATCCAGGTGTCCCTCTGGTAGCTCTTCCTATAAGGACGTCAGTCCTATCAGATCAGGGCCCCACCCGTGTGATCTCGTGAACTTTATCTCGTGAATGTCCCCATTTCCCAAAGCAATCACCACTGGGGGTGGGGGTCAGAGCTTCAATATGTGAGTCATGGCAATGGGGCCACAGTTTGATCCACAACAGGTGGACACAGGGAAACCAGTGAGGAAGTTAGGGAAGAAATGCTGATGGCCTGGAGCAGGTGTTGGCACTGAGCAGACAAGTCAGCCACAATGGGTGGCAGTGGACTTCACAGGGGAGGGAGGGGCTGGAGGTGTCCAGGATAACAATAGGTTTCTGCAGTGAGTGTCAGTGAATTGAATGGTGGCCCCTGAAAAGGTCTGTCTCCCTCCTAGCCCCTGGAACATGTGAAAGTGATCTTATTAGAAACAGGGTCTTTGGGATGCCTGGGTGGCTCAGCGGTTGAGGGTCTGCCTTCGGCTCAGGTCCCAATCCTGGGGTTAAGGCTCTGCAGGTGAGATCATCCTGGACCACCCACGTGGGCCCTAAATCCAACAATCCCAGTCCATCTGAGACTACAGTCATGTGACCACAAGGACCCCACCGCCACCCCACAAAAGCTGAAAGAGGCCAGAAAAGAGTCTCCCCAGAGCCTTGGGCAGGGAGTGGGTCCCTGCGGACACCTTGATTTTGGACTTGAGGTCTCCAGAATGGTGAAAGAATACAGTTCTTTAGGTCCCCAGTTCTGTGACACCCAGCTAAGGCAAGCCTAGGCAATCAATCCAAGGAGTAACTGAAGGGGGTGAAGGTGCCTCCAGGGAAGGCAGGCCAGCAGTGGGGCGGGGGCAGGTGTTGGAGGATGGGAGATGGGAGAGGGGGTGCCAGGTTTAGATGTGGAGATGCAGACGTTGCAGTGAGGTTAGGGTGTGAGGGATGTCCTAGGGCCCTCAGTAAACACTCAGTGCCTGGTCGCCGCCGTCATCGTCATTATTTACCTTCGTCCTAGTACTAGAAGTGACTGCTCCCCTTAGATGCATCAGACTTGCCCGGAATCTCGGGGTGGCAAACAATTTGCCGCTCAGCCAGCACACAGCCAAACTCAGCTACTCCCCGGCCACAGGCCCGTCCAGACACCAGTACTTCCTGGTACAAAGTTCTGTTTGTCCTCGGCTCAGGCCACTCCGGGCTCCGCAGCCCCCCAGGAAGTCGGCCTCCAAGCAGCCCGCCCGGGGCTCCATCGGCTGCAGAAGCCCGCCACCTAGAGCCCACCCGCCGTCCTAACAGCCTGGCCCTGGCCGGGTGCGGACAGAAGAGGCCTCCGTAGTCCCTGGGCTTTTCCCACTTCCAAGCACAGCTTCCTGGGATCAGGCTCCAAAGGTCAAGGGTATGGGCAGAAAAATCTTTCTGGTCTTTCAAAAGGGCTCAAAGCAGGCCTGCCCTGGCCGCCTCTGCTGGGCCTGGAGGTCACCCGTTAAGCGCCCCCACCCAGTCTCCAGGTAATGGGGTGGGAGGGAGTGCGTGGGGCCTACCTCCCTCTCCGCTTTCCTAAACCGACAGGCAGCCTGTCTATGCACCTGGAGAAGTCCAATTCCGAGTCACGGGTCAGACGAGCTGGGGTCTTTCTCGAGGACTGGATTTAAGGACAAGCGCGCACACCTCTGTGTCTTCATCTGTTCAGTGGGGATCATGACAGTACCTGCCCCACTGAACTGTTGGCAGCATGAGTTCACGTATACACAGTGCTCAGAATACTGCCGCAACCCTGAGGGCTCGGTACGTGTTAACCTTCACAATCCGCACACACCTGCGCCTGCAACAAACCCAATCTTGCAGCAGCTTTCTTACAGCAGCATTGCAGTGTATCCCCAAGCACTCCCCGTGCCTTGCCACCCCTAGCTCAGGGTTCTGGGGGCTCCTCATTGCACTTGATGGAAAACTGACCTCCTCAGCCCACACCCTTCTATTTTTTTTTTTAAATTTTTTTTTATTTTTATTTATTTATGATAGTCACACAGAATGAGAGAGAGAGGCAGAGACACAGGCAGAGGGAGAAGCAGGCTCCATGCACCGGTCTCCAGGATCGCGCCCTGGGCCAAAGGCAGGCGCCAAACCGCTGCGCCACCCAGGGATCCCAGCCCACACCCTTCTAAATTCATCTCTCTGCACTCACACACGGCCCTTCTGGGCCTCTGGATTCAGGGCCTTCCGACCTGCTCCTCTGTCTGTGTGCACTCCCCCGCACCCCATGCCTCCTTCGCCTGCACTCCCCTTTCATCTTTCAGGGTGCCCCTCCCAAAAGTTCCCTCTCCGGGAAGTTTCTCAAAGCCCTTGGAAAAATTCTGACTCCTCTTTGTTTCACACAACCCCAAGAGCGTCTGTGCTTTCCCACAAGCCCCTGCTGGGATCACCTGCCACTGTGTGTGTGATTATTGTTCAGTGTGTCCACGCCACCGGGTAAGGCCATGAATGTTCTGTTCACAGTCACATCGTCAGTCATTAGCATAGCGCCTGATACATAGGGAGGCTGGAATAAATGTTTAGTGAATGTGTCTTTCTTACTTAGAAATTGACCAGATGGGGGACACCTGGGTGGCTCAGTGGTTGAGTGTCTGCCTTTGGCTCAGGTTATGTTCCTGGGTCCCAGGATCGAGTCCCCACAGGGAGCCTCCTTCTGCCTCTGCTTATGTCTCTGCCTCTCTCTGTGTGTCTCTCACGAAAAAAGAAAAGTAAGAAAAGAATTTGACCAGATGGGTGGTGCCGGCAGGTCAGCTCATTCTCCACCCTAGGCCAGGTGGCTGTGAGGCCACACTCTCTCTAGAATCACAGCAAAGAGAGGAACTGCGCTTGTGAATTGCCTCTTGGTCCACATCGGGCTCCATGAGGATGGCTTGACGAGGAAATGTGAGTGTCCGTGGCCAGGGGGGCAAAGCACCTCTCCGGCCTGTGCTGGGCTGAGCTGAGCCTGCCCTTGCCCTCCGGATGGACACGACTCTGTGGGTTTCCACAGCCACCAATCCCCCTCTGCTGACACTCCTTTTAGAGATGCTCAACATTCACCAGGTCTCCCTCAATCTCAAGTGAGGCCCTGGGAGGCCGGCTGTGTCTTTGTATGAGTTTGCCAGTCCCTGCTCCATCTCTTGGCATTGAATTCAAAATCCCACTTGCAGAGAAAAAACTAGCACCTCTATTTCCAAGTCTTCTGAGGACAGATCTCCGCATGCTGCCCAGGCGCTGTCAGGTTCTGGCGGAGAAGCCGGTCCCCCTCACTTGACACCAGTGGCTCTCGCTGCTTTCATGAAGCTGTCACGACCTGGCAGCTGGGGGACAGCCCAGCAGGAGGAAGGCCTTCGGAGTTGCCTCTCTGCAGAAGCCAGCACAACAGGCCCCTGCCTCCATCCACATGGCACCGTCTCTGCAGCAGTGTGACATTGCAATTAAAATGGAAGATGAAATGACTCTTTGTGAAGAGCTCTCTGGGATACTGGCTTCATTTAACCTTATTTCTCATTACTTTTCAGACGAGGCTTCTCTTCCCTGTCTTTGCAAAATCTGAACAAACAGGCTTTTTAAGCATCCACTTAACTACTGAATCAGGATTTTTCAAGTCACCATTTGGAGTCACAAGTGACAAAAAACCCAACTCACAGGCTTATATATAAAGATGGGACTTCGTTGGCTAACAACACTGAAATATGGAGAGGCAGCTCCCAGTGACAGACATGGATGGTTCTAGAACCTCAAGGAATGTCATCAGGCAGGCGGATGTCACCCACCCTCTTTATCTCTGAGCTTGGATTCCTCTACATGAATCCAACTTCAGGAAAGCTTTCTCCTGGCAGCCTTGGCATACGTGCCATCAGACCAACACACTCAGCAAAAAGAAAGCCCCCCTCTCATAGTCCAGCTACAGTTCTCAGTATTTGCAAATATTGGGGATATGTTTATACTAAAAAATTATTCCTTGTTGATCTGAGATGCAAATGTAACTAACATCCTGTATTTTATCTGGCAACCTTAGTCCAACACAGGTCCTAGCAATATGGTCGGCCAGTTTGAGGCACACACCATCCCAGATCCAGTTGCTGTGGTCAGGAGGATGGGTCATGCCAACCAGCAGGCCAAGGTCACCTCCCTATCTCTGGAGAGGGGACTTCATGGCCAGCCCTGAGTATCCATGCCCCAATAGCGGGAGAAGGGGCCCTTCCCAAATAACAGGGATGCTAATCCTATAAGAAGGGGAATGAACCCTGCACAAATGAAAACATATGTCCATACAGAGGTCTAGAAGGTTCCAGACAATAGTGGAAACTATAAAACTACACTATGGCTTTATGGCACGCCACTTTTCACACCATTCTTTCCTTGCCACCTGCACTCTTATTTGGTTGGCAGAGCAGATACTATCACCCCCTATACAGTTCTAGTTTGCTAGAACTGCCATGACAACACATCACAGCCTGGGGAGCTTGAACTACAGACAGCTATTTTTTGACTATAAGTCTGGAGGCTGAAGTCCAAAGTCAAGGTGTCAACAGGGCTGGTTTCTGAGGCCTCTCTCTTGGCCTTGCAGATGGCCATCTTCTTGCTGTGTCGCCACGGGGCCTTCCCTCTGTGTGTGTCATGTGCCATGTCCTAATCTCCTCTTGTTATAAGGACACCAGTCATATTGGACTAGGGTCCACCCCAATGACCTCATTTTAACTTATCTCTTTTAAGACCCTAGCTCCGGTGAAAGGTGAAATAAAATGGAGTCACTTATGTCAAGGGGATTTACAAAGGGAGCCAGGAGCCCATTAAAGAGGTAGGCTTTCAGCACATCCTCACTGGGTAGAATTTATAAACTGGGCCAAGTCAGAAATATTCCAAGGACTCTGCATGAACACCTGCCGCGTGCTACAGGAACGGACTTTGGCTTAGTGACAGCCTTGGCAACCCGTTATGTCTAGCCAACACCAATCAAAATTCTTTGTAAATAACATATGCATACATTCCTTTTTGCCTTTAGAAACCCAACTCATGTTCTCTTGTGGGCTGCTACCCAAACCTGTGCCCTCCCCCCCAATTGCCATTAGGGTCAGGACTTCAACATATATATGAATTGGCATGGGGACTGATTCAGCCTAGAACACTACCCTCTCCTTCATTTATTTATATTTTTCTTCCGATAAGGAATAGGACAGTGAAGGTAGTCACTGGTCCCTAATCCCAGGGCTGATTTGGCAGTGGAACTCACTAAGGAGCCTGTCCTCTGCCTGGCCCTTATCCCCACTGGGTAGCCAGCCCATGGCCCGCTTGCATGCTCCCTTCAGGAAGTGCACAGGGCAAATCCACCCTCCTCATCCAGAGCTCAGCACAGGGCCAGGAGCCCAGCTGGTGATGTTCTTGAAATAAGCATTCCTTAATAGGAACGCAACAGGAGGGAAAAACTCCCTAAAGCATTTTAGGAGATTTAGCTAAAAGGAGAGGAGGACAGGAGCTCATGCTCATGATTTGAAGTGATAAAGACTCCTTAGAACAGCAAAAATGTTGAGGCCTATGGATGTGTAAATGAGCTTGGGAAAGCCTCATCAGAGGGTAAATTACAAAACAAAAAAAGACTGTAAAACAAGTGAGAGGGGAGAGCAGTGAATATCTCAGTGTCTTCGGTTCATAAGAAATTCATGAGCAACGCGTGTGGAAATTTTGTTGGTTTTGGTGGTGGGAAAGAATTGTAAATATGTATAATATGTAAATACCTTTTATAATAAAAGCCCATGAAGATAAATGAGCCTGTCTGCAGAAAAGCTGTGAGCTGTGTAAGATGCTAATAGAACTGTCGTCACTATGAAATTACCATAATGCTTACGGGCACTCAAAGTTCCTCCAGCTCTGGAAAGAAATGCATAAATACTAATCAGAAAAGGCACACAGACACCCCCCCCCCCACCCCCCGCTCCCGATCTTTTTCTTTCCTGTGAGGAAGGCTGCCTTGGTGACCAGGCAGCAGAGCTGGACCTACAGGGTTAAACATGACCTCCTTCCACCACCCACGACCTACGCTGGAAGTGGACTCCAACCACCCCCAAGCTGACCTCAAGCTTCCTAACTCCTTTCCAGCTGATCTCTTCGCTGCGGCAAAAGACCCTGGGGGCAAAGCTGACCCTGCCGGAACCGAACCACCCCTTCAAGCAGTAAGGCCTGCCCTGAGCCAGCAAGACCCCGCCCATGACTGCCCCCAGACCACGATGCACCTGACCTGCACTGCCACCTGCACGCACACACCCATCCCTGTCCCTCGTTCTCCTATGTAAGCCTGGAAGTATTTTCAGCACTGTGGAGTCTTTGAGCCCTGCGGTCTTCCCGGGGTTGGCCTCCCTGAAAAAAAAAAACACACAAAAAAACAAAAAAAACCTTTCAGTTTCCCCACCTCCCTCCCGGCCTTTGGGGTCTGTCAGCAGAGCAGTGACCGAATCTGGCTGTCTGGGGCCCCGGAGCCAGGTGCTTTGCGCCCCCGCTACACGGCGACCGTGGACAAGTCATCCATCCAGTCGCTCCGGGACCCGCTTTCCTCATCTGTGAAATAGGGACACCGTGCCTGCCTGCCTGCCTTCCTCCCCACCGCCACGTTTTGGGGAGAAGCCAATGGAAGAAGTATTTAGACTCATGTAGTGCCACGTCCCCTACTGAGAGGGCAGCGGCCAGCGGCCACACAACACCTGAGGGACCTGAGGTCAGGTGCCGGGAAGCAGGGCACTCAGATGCTGGGTCCGCCCAGTCGAGGCGCCCGCCCCCGCGACAAGCCCGCCCCAAGCCCCGCCTCCAGCCATCACCATGCCCCGCCCCCGGAGCGACGCCCTGCCCGGTGCCGAGCCCGCCCCGCCCCGCAGCCCCGACGCCGTGCCCGGTGCAGAGCCCGCCCCTCCCCGCCCCTCCCCGCCCCGCAGCCCCGACGCCACGCCCGGTGCAGAGCCCGCCCCGCCCCGCCCCGCAGCCCCGACGCCACGCCCGGTGCAGAGCCCGCCCCGCCCCGCCCCGCAGCCCCGACGCCACGCCCGGTGCAGAGCCCGCCCCTCCCCGCAGCCCCGACGCCCTGCCCGATGCAGAGCCCGCCCCTCCCCGCCCCGCCCCGCCCCGCCCCTCCCCGCAGCCCCGACGCCCTGCCCGATGCAGAGCCCGCCCCTCCCCGCCCCGCCCCGCCCCGCCCCGCAGCCCCGACGCCACGCCCGGTGCAGAGCCCGCCCCTCCCCGCCCCTCCCCGCCCCGCAGCCCCGACGCCACGCCCGGTGCAGAGCCCGCCCCGCCCCGCCCCTCCCCGCCCCGCAGCCCCGACGCCACGCCCGGTGCAGAGCCCGCCCCTCCCCGCCCCTCCCGGCCCGGAAGCCCCGACGCCACGCCCGGTGCAGAGCCCGCCCCTCCCCGCAGCCCCGACGCCCTGCCCGATGCAGAGCCCGCCCCTCCCCGCCCCGCCCCGCAGCCCCGACGCCACGCCCGGTGCAGAGCCCGCCCCGCCCCGCAGCCCGGACGTCCTGCCCGATGCAGAGCCCGCCCCGCCCCGCAGCCCCGACGCCACGCCCGGTGCAGAGCCCGCCCCGCCCCGCCCCGCAGCCCCGACGCCCTGCCCGATGCAGAGCCCGCCCCGCCCCGCCCCGCAGCCCCGACGCCACGCCCGGTGCCGAGCCCGCCCCTCCCCGCAGCCCCGACGCCCTGCCCGATGCAGAGCCCGCCCCGCCCCGCAGCCCCGACGCCACGCCCGGTGCAGAGCCCGCCCCGCCCCGCCCCGCAGCCCCGACGCCCTGCCCGGTGCAGAGCCCGCCCCGCCCCGCCCCGCAGCCCCGACGCCACGCCCGGTGCCGAGCCCGCCCCTCCCCGCAGCCCCGACGCCCTGCCCGATGCAGAGCCCGCCCCGCCCCGCAGCCCCGACGCCACGCCCGGTGCAGAGCCCGCCCCGCCCCGCAGCCCGGACGTCCTGCCCCGTGCAGAGCCCAGCCCTGCGGTCGCCGGGTCCCGAGCCGCCGGCAGCCATGGCTCCTGCGGCGGGGCGCTGGGCCCCCGGCCTGTGGCGGGCCTGCAACTGGCTCATGGCCGCCTTCTTCGCGCTGGCGGCCTTGGTGCAGGTCAGCGCCTCGGCCCCGGGCGGCGGGCGGCGGGCGGCGGGCGGCGGGCGAGGGGCCTGCGGGTGGTGCAGGGCGCCGGGCTTCGAGCTCCGCCCCGGCCCGGCGCGCGGTGTAGACTAACTCGGCCCTGCCGGAAGGGGAGAAGGGGACGAAGATTGGGGTCACGCCCCGCCCCTCCCCCGGCCGAGAGGTGGCGAGTCCACGTGACCGCCGGCACCGACCCCCCACGAGCCACGTGCTGGGAGGAGCGGGACGAGAGGGCGCAGCCCGGGATGGGCCCGGCACGGCTCGGCCCCGCGAGTCCGCCTCGCCCCCCCCCCCCAGCCGTCCTTCCTCCCGAAGCCTGGAGGCCCCCACAGTACCTCTGTCCGACTTCCGTGCGGTTCTGTGCTCCGGCGTGTGGCTGCGCTCGGCCAGCGGCCCCGGGCCACCCCCCGCCCCGACCCCGCCGACCCTCTAGGCCCTCGTGTGGCCCCGCCGCCCAGCAGCGTCTGCACGGAGCAGGACTGCGGCACCACGCGGTGTCTGCTAACGCCCGGTGTTCTGGCATTGCAGGTGAACGACCCAGATGCAGAACTGTGGATGGTGAGTAGGCGCTGCTTCCTCCGCCGGCAGGAACCAAACACACAGCCTTATGGATTAGTCCCGCCTCCCTCCCTTGTGTACATAAAAACTTAGACATCGGATCACTTGTAAGCCCTCTTCCCTAAAATATCAGGGGAGAGGGATCAGAGGGGTGATGTAATGTGTCTATGAGAGAGAATTCAGGATTTTCCCGAGACCTGAGGGGCCTTTCCGCAGTATTCCCTCCCAACACACAGAATCCTCCTGAGTTTCCACCCAGAAACTCCAACAAACATTTGACCAGAAAATGGCAGGCTTAGGGATTGAGGTTCTTCTAATTCAGTGAGTTGTGTCTATAAAAAGTAATTAAAGCCCGAAAAATCTACAGAATACATTTAACCGGTGCTCTGATGGAACTATTTGGAGGAGGATCGTTCCATACACTTTCAGAACTATCTGGATTTTGCCCAGTTTCTTTCAAAACAGATACGTAGGACTGTGGAGTATCACCAATGAGATGTTTTTCAACTTTGGAACACTATTGGCAACGAATGAAAGTGTTTGGATCCGTAATGCAAAATTCTGGTCTTTTTTTTTTTTTTTTTTTTTTTTTTTTTTTAGTGCAGTAGAACTTATTCTGACATCTATTATTGTCCAGATCACATGCCCTTGCATTAAATCAAATTGCCTCCTCCTGAGCACTCTGGTCCATATCCTGAGTTCCAAATATTATTTCCCTGCAGGCAAGCCTCCCAACACCCAGCTTAATGTTGAATTTCCAAAAGACTGCTAGATCTGTCCACCTGTATGTCACACTGACCCCTCCAACACCCCAAAGTCCCTACGGCCTCTTTTCCTCCTAAACCCCCTCCTCCTCCGGACTCACCCATTTCTATCAGCAGAAATCATCCTCGGGGACATCCTTGGTCCCAACCACAGGCATCTCTAACATCCCTCAGTTCCTTGCCACCACCTTTGAGATCCTTCCAAAAAATAAAATGAAGAACAAAGCAATCCAGCCAAACCCAATCTAGGTCTAACTGTTTATCTGTATGGTATGTGTATACTTTTCCTCCCACCTTATGCTTAGGTGACACCATGTCCCCAAAGACATCCTCCCTTCTTGCCAGTTTCACCCTCCATCACCTTCCAGGTGGACTCCTGTAATAGCTTCCTAATTCTCAGAGCTGCCTCTAAGCTCTTGCACTCCTTGAACAATCTCTGCGTTTTCACTTCCTGTTTCAAAAACTTCCCTAATCTCCCAAGATCCCTGAGTTACAACTCCCCAGGGTGCTCAAGGCCTACCAGTGTGGCTCCAACCCACGTTCCCACCTTGGTCTTGGAAGCCTGATCCACCTATTAATACTTACTGCACTTTGCCCCTAGGATTCCTGTATGTCATACTCTAGCTTAGCTTCAAAGTCTATCTCAAAAAATCCCTCTGTCTCTTTTCCATAGGTTCCAACTGTCCTTCCTTTGAACCTTTAACGCTAACACATTCTGCTTTACATTCAAGCTGGTTCTGTACATGCCAGCTTCTGGGAAAACAGGGACCAGTTCTTCGTCCTTGGTGGTCCTCAGGCAACCTAACACACAGCCTTCCTATGGCAGCCGTTCTGTGTTGACTCCTGCGTGAAAGCATGCACAGATGAGCCAATACTGGGTAACTGGGCCTTGGGGGCTTGTACCACACCTGACTCATTTTCATGTACCCTACTTCATCTTGCTCATGGGAGGATGTCTGTATTAGGATGCATATAGGAGCAAATAATGGAAAATCTGACTAGCAAGAGGTTATAAAAAGAGAGCATCTCACTTAACAAGAAGTCCAGAGGCTGCTGCTTAATGACCCACAATGTCATCAAAGACCTGGGCTTTCTGGGTTTCTTCTCTGTCACTTCCAATGTGTGGGTGATATATCCTCTCATGTTCACAAAATGGCTGCTGCAGCTCCAAGCATCCTGCCCAGATGAGAGCATCCCAAGCAGGAAGAAACAAGACAGGAGCAAAACAATTTTTCCTCCTATGCTTTCTTCCCTTTTATCAGGGAGGAAATGTTACCCGAGAAGCCCTTCAGACAGGCCGCTATGCAGTATGTACATACCCATAAGGTTTTGTTTTTTTTTTTTTTTCCCCATAAGGTTTATGTTCTGGGATCCATCCTGCTTGGTCAATGTCTGTGCATACTGGTTGTTAAAATGCTCTGAGTATCAGCCTTGCCCCTACAAGACTTCTTACAATTTATGGCTGGAGCATGATCACCCCTAGCAGAAAAGGCTGGGAAAACAAATTGGCTTTTATAATGGCGGGTGGACAAGGGAGAGAGACATTAAGAATGAATGCCATGGGGGGGTGCTTGGCTGACTCATAAAAAATAAAAGACCTTATAAGTGCGTTCTACTGAGTTCATTATTGAGTATTTATACTGTGTATTATATTACCTTGTACTAGAAACCATTATTTTCGGTCTCCTTGTCCTCAAAAAAAAATTCTTTATTTTATTTGAGATAGAGAAAAGCATTTAAGGATTAACGTGGCACAACTGCCATGAAAACCCACTATGTAAAGGGTTACTTTATTCATATGTTTACAATATAAAGAAATAAGATCTTAGGGATCCCTGGGTGGCGCAGCGGTTTGGCGCCTACCTTTGGCCCAGGGCGCGATCCTGGAGAGCCGGGATCGAATCCCACGTCGGGCTCCCGGTGCATGGAGCCTGCTTCTCCCTCTGCCTGTGTCTCTGCCTCTCTCTCTCTCTATGTGACTATCATAAATATAAAAAAAAAAAAAATTATTTTAAAAAAAAAAGAAATAAGATCTTAGATCCCTTAATCTGTTAATAACAGATATCTGATACATGTGAGTGCACATTTTAAGAAAATTTCTGCCAAACATTTCTTACAGAGAGCACAGTTAAATGTTGTATGGTGTGTGTGTAACTTCTCTCTCTCTCTCTCTCTCTCTCTCTCTCTCTCATTCTCTCTCCTTTCCTCTCTTTCTCAGTGGTTAAGTCATGTAGGTTTTCATTAGGGGAAAACCACTCCTTACTGCTCCAAGTGTGGACCTTAGAACAACAGCAGCGGCATCCCCTGGGAGCTTGTTAGAAAAGCAGAACTTGGCCATACCCCAGACTTTTAGAATCAGATCTGCATTCTACCAAGCTTTCCAGGTGATTCGTATACACACTGAACTTTGGGAAGGTCTGGTCTTAACCCTCAATAGCATGAATGCCTATGTGTGAGAGGTGACCAGACTTGCAGATGTCAGGACTGGCCATCATTAGGGATGGAGTAGGAAAGATAAACACCAAGTGTGTAATCCAGATGCCCTCTCTCCCTGGGATCAAGACAGACCTGTTTCTCTGGTGAAAGCAAAGCACTTAAAATGCACAGCTGTGACAACTCCCAGATAAGGAAAGATTTCTGACATGAGCATCATGGTTGATATGGGTAAGCAGCTAAATTTCCTGGAAACTCGTCATGCCTCCTGTATATCTACCATTCATATTCTACTCGCCCTCTGCCCACAACACACAGGCCAGAGCAAGTCTGGCTAGAGTTGGCTTGCTGTGCATGAGGCTTGAAAACAGGCCTCCTCAGGCCAGGCTTCCACACTCCCAAACAGCTGGTCAGCAGTTTCCAAAATGATGAGCCTGATCTTACCTGATGCGGACACTGTAAGTCAACTTTCTGTGGTCTCACCTGCAGAACCGGAGTATTATGCAGGGTGGGCCCCAGCAGGGCCGTCCAGCTGACCGTGCCTGCTCCTGCCAGACTTTTCAGAGCAGTTGCTTTTGTGTGAGTGGGGAAAGACCATGTGGGCACAGACGTTGCTTGAGAGAAACTCTGGAGGTCAATGTGTCTTGAGACCCAAGCTCTGCTCAATGCCAGCGCACAGAGCCGAACCAGTTTTCCCTGAAGTAGTTTACAGTCTAGGAGGAAGGCAGGTAAAATTACCCCCTGGCGTGGCAAGTGCCATAACAGCAGAAGTTACAACTTCCTCAACTGTTACTGCAAGGACTGGCAAATCCTGCAGCAGGACGGCCCCCAGGGCCACCTCTGTGTACTCCCTAGATTCTTCTGAACATCTCCAAAGTCAGGCATACTTCTTACCCCATGTAATCTCCTCCCTCTTCGCTCACAGGTGGTGTACATGATACCTGCGGCGCTGAGCCTGCTTGTTGGACTTAACCCTCTTGTCACGGGTATGGATGCTGGATTCTGCACGGACACGTAGCAGATCAGATATCTGACAATAACGACAGACTCTCGGGGGAAAACACGGGGCTCTCCAGGTCTCCATTCCTGATAACAAGAGAGGCTAATTTTAATCTAGATCACCCTTGCCCATCTTCAGGCAGACTTCACACGGACCTGCCACACCAAGATAGCCTCTTATCAGCTTGGAACCCAAGGTCGCTTACGCTGGTGTGGAACACGATTGTGCAGTGTAGCGCATGAGAGAGAAGGGCTTTGGTCAGCACGCTGATCAGCAACAGAGTACAAACCTTGTGTCTCTAGAGTCAGTGGCAACCACGGTCTATTATGTGTTTCTTCTTTATCAGTTCTTCTTAACTCCAATACCACTCCCAGTAACCACTTTTTCAATCAACATGTGTGTATATGGGCTACTTATTTAGGGAAACGGTTTATATAATGTCCATACGGATGTCTAGGTTTTTCATAATACATCTTGTTCTCCCTAACTTCCTTCTGTGCCATCATAGTACCTATAGCAATTTACTGCATGCTTTTATATGTTTTCCTCTGCTAGGCTGTAAGTCCCTTAAAAGTGGGACTGGGTCTAGCCTATCTTTGCCCAAGCCTAGCTGAAATATGGCCAGGAATATGGTAGGTATTTAATGCTTGTTGAATGTGAACAGATGGCTGTAAAACAGAGGCTTTATCATAGACTTTGTAACTTGCTCCTTGGAAGATCTATATCCATCTCAGGTGGGTATACAGGTAACAAAATTTGCTTAAAATAGCCGGTTTCTATTGCCCACAGGCTGCCTACCTCCATGCTAGGCAAAACATAGTTGCTTTACCTTTTATGGCCCAAAGACTCTGAGTAAACCTTGAGTTGGACAGTTTTATACCATAAAACAGTGCCTAATAAACAACAAAAAAAAATACATTTTACATTGTTTACTAACGTTTTCTTATTAATAGGGACTGTAAGTCCTGATGGGTCATTCTTCAGGGTCATGAAAACCAGTGGGCCTTCAAAGTCCTCAGGGGCCTTGGAATAAAGACCAGTGGTTCCCAAGTGGGTGGGGAACACTCTTGTCCTGTGGATGCACAGGCTCCTGGTACCTGCCTGGAACTCTTGTCTGCATCTGTAAGGTGTATCAGGGCTCCATTAGTTGCAGGCAAGGAACAAACTCAAATGGGCTATGAGTTCAAAAGGAGACAGACTGGGATACTGGACTGAGAAAATCAGAGGTGGTGCTAGCTTCAGGTGCTGGTGGTGGCTCAGAACTTAAACTTGTCTGCACCTCACAGTCCCACCATATGCCACTCTGGCTTCAATCCTGGGCCCCTCATGATAGTCTGACAGCTCAAAGTTCACTTCTCTCTGATGCTCTGTCCAACAGAAGATCAAACCTGCTTCTCAGATAGCTCCGCATCAGTCTCAGAATTGAGCTGTGGGCCCCAATTTGTCATCTGTTCATCCAGAGCCAAATCATGGTTGCTAACAGGATGAAATATGTTGACTAATCAAGCTAAGGTCCAATAGTCTGGGACACATGGCCTGGTATGTGGGAAGGATAGATACCCAATGAAAACAAGGGGTAGTTATTTTAGAAACAAGACAGTTGGAAACTGCAAAATAAATGTCCACCTGAGTTTATTATTACTGCTTTAACCTTTCTGATGTCCCCCAAAACAAAACTTAAACCCCAGGTTTTTTTTTAAGTAGGCTCTATTGCCCAGTGTGGGTCTTGAACTCATGACCCAAGATCAAAAGTCGCATGCTGTATAGACTGAGCCAGCCGGGCACCACCCCAGCTTTTTCTGAAGTCTTTACCTAATAGGAGACTATGGCAGAGCAGACACAAAGAGATCATTTTTTTGTGGGATGTGGTTCCATGATTAACAGCACCAGAATATCTATTTTTAGGCAACTTTATCTGGAAGAGTGTCTCCACAATACACATACTCGTTTGTATCGTGTGGGCTGTCAGCTTGGCGTGCCACCTCTGGCTTCACTCCCAACAGAACATCTTACATGAGGAAGAAGGCAGGTGAGCTGTGACCTTTGCTCCTTGGAAGGGGTGGGGTGGAGCTGAGAAATCAGTTCCTCTGTAACCCCGTATCTGCACCGTGATGACTCAGCTACCCTAACTACACCCAGAGGAGCAGGGAAGGTATTATCTCCTTGATAAGCTGAAGAAACAGAAAATGAGCCAGGATTCACACCCAGCATCGTGTACCACATTCCACAACCACTACCAGAGGCAGTCAGCGTACTGGTTATGTTACCGTTGGCATTTGACCTTGGCTCCCTTACAATGAATGAGCAACAACACCATACAGTAATAGTCCACTCTTACAAGGTGAAAACTCCATCAGCATTCTGATTTAGTTGTGGTTCTGGCCAAAAATCTTATCTACAAATGTGATCAGCTCCCTCAGAGGTCAGTATGTTAAGTCAACCTCCCATCAGCCTTGCCCTGCAATGTCCCATGTCATCCCTATTTTCTCATCTCTTCCTTTGCTTCACCCCACCCTTGACTCCCTGGCCTCACGCACAGCCCCTTTTTCCTTTCCGTCCATCCTACTGCTAACATCTACTAACACTAAGATTTAGAGATGGATAAGGTAATCATTCCTGGAGAGGTGCTACTTTGTTGTAGGCCCTAATCCTTGGAAAACTGGATAGCAAATGAGGTTGGGTCTGCCCATGGGATTATAAGCCAAATGGGTTGATTGAACTCCACCAGCATGAGGCCCATGAGTTATGGTGAGCTTCCAGTGGTACCATGGCCAAACATGACCTTTCCACTTTATGTAAAAGATGTGCTTTTAACACATATTTCTAGAAGCATATACCCACCCCAGAATCATTAGTCTGACTCATAAAAATCATTTGTCTCCACTAAGATGTGACCCAATTGCAGCATGCACTCAAATTATTTATGGATCTGAGTTCATCCTGCCTAACAGTGAACACTCTAAAACAATGTAAAACTGATGCCTGATATATCTGGGGTAATTTCCTTGGTTGTACTATATTCTTCCCAGTGACCTGAAATAAGTGATTTATTTGTGGTTTTGTTTTCTTGGGTTTCTTTGTCCACTTAGAAGTTGGAGAACGGGGATGGAATTCACATCTACCTCAGAAGATGAAACTTATTTTCATATAAGGCTTTAAACTGAAAAAAAGTAATTTTTGACTCATGACCAGATTTGAAAGTATTCTGTAGATCCTGTATTATCTTGGGGGAAGGTCATCCAATAATCAGCAGAAGCTAGCGGTCATGGGGAGAATGGGATGATATGCATCTCACTTGCAGTTACTTCAAAAATCTGAAATGTATGCTGTTTTATAGGGAGCTGTTTGGTCTGGTGATTATCACAGTATGGATGAGTCTATGTCACAGTTCATCAAAGTAAGTTTTCAGCTCTCATTAGCTAAAAACAGATATCTTCAGGTTGGTGAGGTCAGATAGGCAAGTGAAAGTATATGCAAACAAGAATCTTTGAAAGAAATCTTTCCTTTTCCTAAGCAAACCTTTAACAAACACTTCCAGAAAACAGAAAAAAAGGAACACTTTACAATTCATGTTACAAGGACAGAATAATCTTGATACCAAAACTTGACAAGAACATTTAAAAAAAGGGAGAGGGAAGAAAAGCAAAGAAATTACACAGCAGTCTCATGACTGCAGACTGAAAAATCCTAAACAAAGCATTAGGGAATCAAATCCCGCAATATATAACCCAACCACCAGTTTGGGTTTATTCTAGGAACACAGTTTATTTTTTTTTTTAATTTTTATTTATTTATGATAGTCACACAGTGAGAGAGAGAGAGGCAGAGACACAGGCGGAGGGAGAAGCAGGCTCCATGCACTGGGAGCCTGATGTGGGATTCGATCCCGGGTCTCCAGGATAGCGCCCTGGGCCAAAGGCAAGCGCCAAACCGCTGCGCCACCCAGGGATCCCCTAGGAACACAGTTTAACATTAGAAAACCAACCACTGTTTTCTATCACATTAACAGAATAAAAGAAAAAATAAACTGTCTTTTCAATCTATTCAGAAAGAACATTTGGTAAATTCCTCATCCGTTCACAAGAGCTGTTGGAAAACAGGTGTAGAAAGGAACTGAACCTGATAAGTGGCATCAGCACCAAAGTTTAATACTCAGTGGTGAGCAGCTGAAAACTGTGTCTGAGATCGGGAGTGAGCAGGGATTAGCCACCATTGCAACTTGTGCTCAACACTGCTCTAGCTTGTATTGTGGCCAGTCCAAAAAGGCAAAAAAAAAGAAATAAAAGGCACAACAATTGGAAAAGAAAAATGTTCATTATCTACGGCTGACATGATTGCATATGCAAAAAAAAAAATCAAACAGAATCTAAAACATTACTAGAGTGAGTTTAGCATGACTGCTAGATGAATGTACTGAGACCAACTGCATTTTTATCAAGTAACAGACAATGATAAAAACAAAGTTAATCATAAATAATAATATCAAGAAATCAACTCTCTAGGAGTACATCTAGAAAGACATAGGCAAAATCTCTACAAATAAAACTATAAAACACTGTAGGAGAAATTAAAGACCACCTAAGAAAGTGGAGGGATAAACCTGTGCTGGTAAAAGGATAAACTAATCAAAGAGTGGAATCTAGAAACAGGTCCACACACGAGCAGACCCTTGACTTATGACAGAGGTGGCAGTGCAGGTGCAGCAAAGAAAGGCAGACTTCTCAACAAATAGTGTGGGATCAAGGGAAAGCCCATATGGACAGTCTTTCCCTAGCTAACTTTCATAAGCATCAATTCCAGGTGGATTGCTCTAATGTGAGAAGCAGAACAGTAAGACTTCCAAAGAAGATAACCCCAAATCTCCAAGACCTTGGGGAGGCAAAGTTTTCTTAAAAAGGATGCAGAAATCATAAGGAGTATAGATCAATTTTAACACTGCCTAATTAACCAGTGACTTCAGTTCCTCAAAAGACATCAATATGTGAGTGGGAAAAGCCATTTGCAACACATACAACAACAAAGATTTGCATTAAGAATGAAGAACTCCTGGGGGTACCTGGGTGACTCAGTCAGTTGAGTGTCCAAGACTTGATTGCAGGTCTCTATCTCAGGGTGGTAGGTTTGAGCCCCACGTTGGGCTCCAGGCTGGGCATGGAGCCTACTTTGTAAAAAAAATGTGCTCACCTAATTCCACCTTTGTATTTGTTTCCAAAGCAACCCATAATTTTTATTGGATTTTTATTGCTAATAATTCCTGTGGGTCTTTATAGGAATCCAGCTGGTGGAAGAATTCAGTTGGCTACTGCCGTTGTAATCACTCTCCTCCCATTTATCTCTTGGATCTACATATACATCAACAAGGAGATGCGGTCCTCCTGGCCGACTCACTGCAAAACAGTAATTTAAATGAAGTCAAGAATCCTGTTCTTAAAATGAGTATTGTTGATCAATTGTTTATAAACATATGTAACCAGCCAATATATGTAAGAAGCCAATTTCCTAGGAGTTTATTTCAGGTAATTTGAGCTAATATTAGAGATGATTTTTTAAAAAATTCTAAGAACTTTCTGAGGATGCCTACAATACAGCATAGGATTGCAGGGGACTGGTAAGAGATAGGGGTCTGACATTATGTTGTGTCACCATGTAGTAGAAAAGGCAGCAGAACAAAAGTTCAGAAATAGGAATTCTAACTCAGCTTACCACTATCTATCTATATGACTTGGGCAAACATATGAACCTCCTGGTGGATATCTTCATCTGCAAAATAGGATTAATGCCAGATCTCCTACTCACTTGTGCAGTAGTTGCAAGGATTAAACTGGAGAATAGGAGAGCACTCCAAAAGTACCAAGTGCTCCTAAGGGATTACACGTGATTAAAACAGGAAAGCAGGGTTTGAGTGCTGTGATGGAAACAGAGGTTCAAGAAAGGGCTGTGCCCCTGGACTGAACTCCCTGTATGCAGGACCGGTGCAGTGCCATGAACGAAACGAAGATGCCAAATGAATGAGCATGTAGCATAAAGGAATTTGGGATCAAAAGGAAAGAGGGAATATTAACCACATTGTAAATGAAAAAGAAGACTAAGATCTATACACATTAAAAAAAAAAATGTCAAAGATAGCCCTGGGGAGAAGACCATTTTAGAGCTGTGCTCTCCAATGTGACAACCTGCATTACCATAACCGTGATGCATATACACACACACACACACACACACACACACACACACACACAACATGGTAACGTCACCACGGTGCATACGCACATGCACAGACATGAGAACATCACTGTGGTGCATACATCCGTGACATGGTAGCATAACATGGTAACAAAACCATAACGTGTTGCACTGAGTACTTGAAATGTGGCCAGAATGGGGCAGTAAAATTCTACTTTGTTCATTTTAATTTTAAAACCTAATTCAATTATGAGAAAACTTGTAAAAGTGTTTTGGAACAACTTGTGTATGTGACCCTACTTCTTTAACCTCAAGTTTTATATCTAAATATAGATGAAGTATTTCCAGTGAAAATATTTGTCATGTCCAATGGATGGGTTATAAAGTATAAAATACATACTGGATTTTAAAGACAGTACAAAAAATGTAAAATGTTCTTATATTGATTACATGTTGAAATGATGTTTTAGATATATTTGAGTTAATATAAACTATATCAATTAAAGTTGTTAGGGTTATCTGTTTGCATTTACTTTGTAAAATGTGACTGCTTTTAAATTACTTCTGTGGCTCACATTGTATTTTTGTTGGATGGCAAATTTTTTATACAAGCTATCTTTAAACTTTGGAGTCCAAATCTCATTTTATGAGATTGAGGAAATATTTCACTCAAAAAATATTTCTACTCTCTATCAAAAGAGTGGAAATAAGTCTGGCCAAGTGTCTATTTTTACACCCTTTAATACAATATTAACTATTCAATAGATATTTGTTAAAGAAGGTATGTATGGTTTTTTGTTTTACACAATGGCCACTGGACAGGCAAAATTCTCTATTAAGATTTAGATGAGGGAAAAGGAAGAAAAAAATCTAGTCAATATTAAAGCAAATAATGTGAAATTTATTTTAAGGGCCAATAAGATACATATGAAGGCTTTCAGTGTTCCAGTGAACATTTAGCTTATGTGATACTTACGGTTTTTACATCTCTTTTAATGTAACTACTAAAATCACACGTGAAAAAAATGGATTCCTTTGCAAATTCTATATAGGATCTATGTAACCTCCAGGTAATGCCTGACTCTACTTAAAAGACGGTAATATTCCAATATTTTTAAAAAGTGGTGTTCCAAATATACTTTCATCCTATCTGCACCTCCGGTATCACTACGAATTCCAAGATTATAGGGAGTTCCTTTTGTATCTTGATAAGCATGGAAAAATTTGGAAGAGCACTGCCTCCTGAGAGGAGTCCTTCTTACTGAGATTGTTGTAAACTCTATTTCTCAAGTGAATTTCAGTGAACTCCAGGTCTTTAGTACCCAAGCCTCTTGCCTTCCCACTCGCCTTTTTCCTTCCCTCTGGCACTGGTCTCCATCAGCCTCTCAGGGACATGGATCCAATCACAGTCTCCCCAGTGGAAACGGGGGGCTCCCTGTGGTCTGACAAGCCCAGTTCCAACTGTGGGCTCACCATTCAAGGCTCTTCACGACATGGCCCTGTTAGCTTCCCGTGCCATGTCTTGCCATGATCCTAGGCACCTTTTGGTCAATCTTCACAGCGTCCCTCATCACTCCTACAGTCTGCATGCCCTCTGACCTCAGCTGAGTCTACTTTGCCTACCTGTCACAACCATCTTCCTCCTCTTTCATGTCATTTCTGATCCCGTTAAACAAAATTGAACTCCCCCTGGCCCCCACACACCCAGGCCCTTCTGCACACGTCTGCATCTGTGGGTGGTAAGGTCAGTGAATGCAGGAAGCACACTAGTTACCTCTCTGGTGGGGGGACTCACAGCTCTCAAGGATATGCAGGTCCTGGTCCCCAGAACCTGGGACCATCACCTTGCATCACAAACCAGGCTTTGCAGAGACGATCAAGGTGCAGATCTTGAGATGGGGAGAGAATCCTGGATCCTCCAGAGGATGCCTGGAGATAATCACAATTGTCCTGACAAGAGGCAGGCAGGCAGAGGGAGGTCTGAAGAGGCTATGATGTGGGCTCTGAGGATGGAGGGATGGGCCAGGAGCCAGGAATAGATTGCAGGAAGTGGGCTCTAGAAGCTGGGAAAGCCAAGGAAGCAGATTCCGCTGCATGGAGTCCCTGGTGGCAGGAAGGCAGGCCTGTCAATACCTTGAACTCAGCCCAAGGCAAATGGCTCAGGCTCCTGGCCTCTAGAACTGTAAGAGCACAGACGTGCTGCTGGAAGCCACCAATGTGGCGGTAATCTGCCACAGCAGCCCCAGAACGGGGGCACATGGATGCTGACTCGAACTGCTTTTTACTCTCTCGATGTTTTTTAGGTCCTGAGTCAAACTTCCTCTACACTTAATGGTCCCTTTGCTCTCTAGTAAATGTTGCCACAAATAGGCCTTAGCACGTAGGACAACCGAGTTAACATGCTCCATTTGTCTAAGGGAGTGAGGAGTAAATTCATGGAGCCCCTGTGGTCTCTAGAGATGAGCTGTTGTTCAAAGAGACCTGGCCGGCAGGCACACAGCTGCACTGGCCTCTGGTCCTGCTTTGCTTAAAATCACAAGGCGACCACATGACTCCTCAGGAGGCCCTGCTCATAGCCTCATGTGGGAGAGACCACACATCTGTCTGAAACAGCTTATTTGTTGTTTATAAAACACAGATATAAGTCTATAAATGTCCAAACACGATGGGTATTCTGAGCAATTAAGGTCCAAAGTTTATTCACACAGCAGGATAAACAAAGTTTACCTGAGCGTATTTTATTTTTTTATTATGAATTTTAAATTACATAGGTAATACATGAATACATCCTCCTTGTAAAAAGTAAAAAATTTCCGATAAGGCTAAATGAAGTCAGTTTTGAGAATGACACCACCCTCCGCCCCCTCGGTCTCCTCCCTGGCAGATTCATGCTGCTTTCATTCATTCTGTTTCCAATCCTCAGCCCTGGATATGTTATCCCAAAAAATGACATTTCAGAGTGTCTCATGAGCTAACGCACACTGAGGCCATAAATACATTTCGTTGTGCAAATAGAATGCTAAACAATGAGCCTGAGGATTTCTGGGGGGTGGGGGGAGATAAACAAAAACAACACTCAACCACCACTCTGTAAAGGTAAACAGGTAAATCAGACTAAAATTGGGAAGTGTTCTCCTTCTTGTAATTCATAATTCTGTCTGGAACTCTGCCTCTCCCTTTCAACATCATTTTGTCAGGATAGACATAAACCGTGCCAAAGGCCTGGCTGTCCGGAGCCGTCTCAATAACCCCTTCTAGGTTGATGTGGTGCACACCAAAAGGATCCTCAGAGTAGCCACCATCATGAGTGTGACCGGCGAAGAAACACACCACACACTTGTGAGACCAAATTACTGCCAGGGCATCTCTGTAATTCCAGGCCAGGCACACACTGTCAGAGGCCTCTGGGTAAATGGGAAGATGGCCTGTTAGTTAAAGAGAAGAAAAGTTATGAGCCAATTAAGAAATATCTCTTTCATCAAAACAAATGGCTAAAAACTAGTACTTGGAAAAAAAAGAAAGGAGGGGGGTATTGCTACTTATTTCCAATAGACTAAGACCACAGAGAATCCATGTACGTGAAGAACTAGATCATCTACAGCCTCATCTCTGCGGCGTAGAGGGGGAGACAGTCCACGCACCCGGGAGAGGCCTCCATTTGGGCAGAACCCCTGAGATCCCTACAGCCTACAGCATCCGAAGAGGCACGAGTGTCGGGAAAAACCGAGGCAGGCCCATGCAGAACGGCCCGCAAGGGTGGCCAGAAGCCAGGCAGATGCCATGCTGGAGTCCAGTCTCTTACACAGAAAGAGAGACCCCTAATTTAAGAACAGTGTAGGGATGAGTCATGGGTTATATGTCATTCATACAGACAGTGCTTTAAAACTGATTCATGCTGCTATAAACACCTCCATGAGATCACATAGCCAGAGCCATTTTACAGATGAGAAAAGTGAGGTAAAGCAGGGAATATTTATCCTAGGTCCTGCAGGAGATACATGGAAGGAGAGCCGGGAGAATTTCGAATTCCTGACGCCAAGACACACAGGCGGTCATGTCATGTATCACTCTGGAGCACAGGCACAAAAGCTCACTCAGCTTTGCTTCTTCCCCTTAAATCACTTTCCTGTTTTGTTACTATAAACGGTTATTTTTATTCTAAATTTTTATTATGAATATTTTTATTCTGTTTAATACCTATCAGTTTGTAATACATTTTAAAAAGGGGGGTGTTAACAGATTCCTAAAGAGTCAAAAGAGTCAGAAGAACTTATGAGTGAGCGTGGGCACACGGGTGGGCACAGGCGCGCACACACACACCCCACGGGTGTGTGCACACACAACCACTCCTGAAGCCATGATGAGGTCTCAGAGTCCACAGAGGCTGGTGACTCTCCAGATTGAGGCATGACTCTGGACTCCTCTGACACAGTGACCTGCTCCCCGTCCTTGAAATGCTGGACTGCCAGGACACCACCAGTCCCCCTTGTTTCCCTCCAACCTCGATGACCATGAATTATCACTCCCCTTGGTGGGCTGCTCATCTCCCCACTCCCTACTAGGAGGGCCTCAATGCTTGGTCCCTGGGCTGTGCTTCTCTGTTTACACCTAATGTGACCTAGTAATTATACCATCTCCAATGTCTCTGGCATTCTTTCCCCTCCCACGTGTTTATACCCAGCCCAGACTTTCACTCTGCATTTCAGCCTCAAACATCCAAACTGCTTACTTGATGTCTCCAATGATGCCTAACAGGCATCTGAAACTTAACCTTTTCACAGCCGAACTTTTGGACTCCCCACCCCACATCCCCTCTTGCTGCAACAAATAGCAGGGCCAGCCTTCTAACTGCATGGCCCAAACCCCAGAGGCAGAGGCAAAATGACCTCTCAATACCCAAAATGGAAGTCAAAGAGCAAAGGAGAACAACAACAACAACAAAAATTGCTATTAGCCATTTAAAACTTTGCTATAAAAAAACTGTGATCAAGGGTTTGTTCATCAGGTGTCTGAGCTTACAGTGAAGGGAGTATGAATATAGGACACGGCTAACATCCACAGGGGGCATAAAAGGAAATGGGAGAAATCCAGGACAGGGTGGGAAAGGAGATGGGGTGGACGCCAGTCTCAGCCAAAAGCAGGAACTACTGACAGGACTGTGTCATTTATCTCAGTCTCCTGAGCTTCAGGATGAAAGGGTTGACGGTATGACCCGTAGGTCCCTCTCAGCTCCAGTATTCTCTGAAGCGACCAAACAGCAGACATAAGTGAAGTGTCCCGATTTTTAAGACCACCTACTGAAGAGCCAATGTCACATCATCCCAATAACCCCAGGGCACCCTGTTTTCTCTGAGCCTCAGATGACACTTGGTACTCCCATGGCAGCACAGACACTCCCACTCCACCTACACATTTTCTCCACTTCGGTGAAAGAGTCACGACTATTTATGGAGGTGTACTTTTAGATCATCAGCTATCAGAATAGCTTGTCATCTTCAAGGGGTTTTCATGTTCCTAATTCCATTTGGTGCAATCCAGAGAAAAACAGTAGCTTATAAATTCAAACACTTACCCAGACTCACACAGTGCACAGAAACAAATGCATACAGAACAGTCCCCTGCCCTTGGGACCCCAGGCACAGGCAGTTCAGCCATTATGCCACATCAATTCTACACCTAGGATCTAAACTCCATGCCCAAACCAAGTACACCAGCCACACTGCAAATCCAGAATTCAGTTCTCCATGTGCGTGCATGTGGGCACACACGTGTGCACACACCCGGAGCTGAGTGTGTATTAAGCACCTCCTGATTGCCACAACCTGTGATGACAGCCCGTCTGCAAGATGATTCTAGGTGGAAATAACATCAATCTCATTTCCTCGCGGGCATGTGGCAGACAGTCCAGAACTGAAGTACCCACTGCCAGCAGCGTCTCTAATGCTCATGCCATTACCAGCTCTGGTTCCACCAGACAGCTGAGGCCTCTGGCTGGTGGCCACTGTGCTGAGCAGCAGGTCTCCTGAGGCTGAGGTCTGGAATGGGGCCTGGCCTGAATTTCTCACTCACATGTTATAGTCGACCCATGAACAAAGGTTTGAACTCCGTGGGTCCACTTATCCACATGATTTTACAGTAAATACAATGAATGCATTTTCTCTTCCTTACAATTTTCTTAGTAACATTTTCTTTTCTCTGCCTCACTTATTTAAGAAGATAGTATACAATACACATACGAAACATGTGCCAATCAACCATCATCGGTAAGGCTTCCAACCAAGAGTAGGCCATCTGTAGTCAAGTTCCTAGGGAGTCACAAATTATCCATGGATTTTCGACTGTGGGGGGACAGTGCCCCTGACCCGCATGCTGTTCAAGGGTCAAGTGTACTACAAAAATGACCCCAGGTGCTGAAATTCTCCTTGGAAACCTAAAAGACCATCTCACAGGCACTAACAAACAGCAAGACATTTTGCCTACTTTATAGTCCTTCCCTGACTGTACACATCGATCTTATACTCAGGTTCTCCATAAAGAAAGGAAGGTATTCATCTGACAGCAACAAGACACCACAACATAAATATTATTAGGTAAACCTTCAAACCTACTTTCCCATTCTCTAAAATGCTGGCATAATCAAGTAATATAAATACTTACTCACAATCACCACCTTTTCCTGGTTTGTGTCAGAGAACGTAAGAACTTCATTCAACCAGTTAAGCTGCTCTTGGCTGAATCCTCCATTAAACTGGACAAACTGGGGCTCAGAGAGTCCTGAAATGAACGCAGTACATCAGACACATCAGCTCTTGCCTCCTCTGGGCATGCACACTTGGCTAACATGGGGACACTTGTACTTTTCTGTAGGAAAATGTGGCAGCACTTGACTTAAATAGGAAATGACAAGAATTGAGAGCAACGTACAGATAAATTGCCCGTATCCCACTTGTCTGCTAACCTTGCTAGCTCCATGTTACACTGAACACCAAACACAGGCTCCTGACTGTGCCTACGGAGACAGTCACCTTGCACCCCATTGGCCATGTCCTGTGTCCTTTAATGATGCCTGGGTGTCACTGTACTCAGCACCTTTCCATCTGTCCCCCTCTCTCCTGAACACTTCGCCCATCCCGGACTTCCCAAGGACAACCTCGATGTCCTTCCAAGCATTTAAGTTTCTGCTTCAATGTTGTTCCTCCCTGGAGA